ACCGGGGAAGTTGCTCTCGGAGTTTTAGCCCGGATAAAAAAAAAAAAAAAAAAAAAAAAAAAAGAAAAAAAAAGAAAGAAAGTCAGCAAGGAAATAGACACTGCTCTACCAAGCAGACCTAGGTGACATTTACCAAACCCCCTACACAACGACTGCAGGATGCACGTTCTTCTCAAGTACATACAGAACATTCTCCAGACAGGCATTTTTTGGGTTAAAAAACAAGCCTCAGTACTTTTAAAGAGAGTAGAATCATACAAAGTATGTTCATCGGCCACAGTGAAGTGAATTCAAAGTTCCTGACAGGAGGAAATTTAGAAAAGTCAAAGGTGTGGAAATTAAACATCTTTTTGAGTGTATGTAATACTGGGGATTGAATCCAGGGCCTCTCACAAGCTAGGCGAGGGCTCTACCGTTGAGCTGCACCCCCAGTGCTTTTAATTCTGTTTGGAGACAGGGTTTCACGATGGTGGCCTCAAACTTGACATCCTCCTGCTTCAGTCTCCCAAGTAGCTAAGATTACAGGGTGCACCACCACGCCCAATATAAACATCTTCTTCAGTGAGTCAAAAATCACAAGAGAAATAAGAAAACACTTCGAGGGAAATGAAAACGAAAACACAACCTACCCAAACCATAAGGGTTGCAGTTAATGCAGGGCCACGAGGGACATTTATAGCTGTACATGTCTGTCTTTGGAAGGAAGAAATACCTCAAATCAGTAACCTAACCTTGAGAAACTAAGCAAAGAACACACTTAGGTGTGACTGTGGGCCCCAGGCTGTGGCCTCGCCTCTTGGGGAGCACACACTGGTGGGGGTGGCCCTGGGAACTGCCACACCTATGGGCTGGGATTTTGAGGACTGTCCAGCTGTTCACTTGCTGTTCTGCAGGGCGAGCGCTGGTTAGTGCTACCAGTTAGTGGTCAGTGGTCCTTCCAGTAGCCCCACTCCCACCCTGGGGAGTCCTGGGGTTGGCCCATTTGGGAAGAGAGAAAATATTGTCCTGAAGAGCTTCTGGGAGGGGCATCGCGGGCTGTCCCTGCCTCCCCCTGTTTCTGAGAGCGTTTACAGCATCATTACTTTCCAGTTAGCCAAGCAATTAAAGCTTGGGGAAGGCGCCATCTCCCGGGGCAAGAGCGTGTTCCCCATCCTCACAGAAGACTGAGGCTCCAGCCGTGGCTGGGCAGGGTTCCCACCTCTGCCCCTGTGGCTTCCTGAAACCTCTCCCTCCTGCTTCTCCTGACTCGGGGTGTCCTCACGTTCTGGGCTGTGGGCCCCCAACCCGCAGTCCCAGGGACTCTCAGTGTGCTTGGCCCTGCTCTGGATTGCAGGGTGGGTCCTGGGGCCCGGGGGTCGTGTGGGGCCACCTTCCAGGCCGTCCTGCATCTGTGGCCGCTGCACACGTGGTGGGTGGGGCTGGGACTGAGCTCAGCAGCTGATGTGGAAATGGGCCTGGGGCCCTGCTCAGGGAGCTGCAGACGAGGCCTGTGCACCCGGTGGAACAGATTCCACTAGGTTTAATTATAATTTAAGCGTAAAATATGTCTCTTCCGAGGGAGTTGGCGCCTTGTGCATAATTATTCTCCGCTCTTTCCCAGCCTCCCCTTCACGCCTCTGCGTGCTG